CCCCCCAGGTTACTAGGGGTCCCCAAACCCCTAGTCACACCCTCCCCAAAAAATTACTAGCCCCTACCTACCCCCCTCACCCTAAATAAAGTGAGGGGGGACCAATAAATATGTACCTGTAAAAAAACAAAAAAAACTTACCATTTGATGTCTTCTTTCTTCTAAAATCTTTTTCCAGCCCCAAAAAAGGCCAAATAAAAATCCATAATATCCATCGCACTTTAAAAAAAAACAAAATGAGCGCAAAAATTAAAAATGATCCATCTTCACCCATAGAGGGCTCCGTACAGACGGAGGGCTCCGCACAGACTGAGCTCTGAAGGGTGGGGGAAGGCTTATAAAGCCTTGCCCCGCCCTGCAATTAGGCTCAGAGCAATCTGGTTTGTTGGTTTAAGCCATCCAATCAGAGTGCTCTGACAGGTAAATGAAGAGACTGACAGGTAAGTCTCTACATTTACCTGTCACAGCACTCTGATTGGTTAGCTTGAAATCCAGCCAGAGTGCTCTGTGTCATTTTACACAGCGTGGGAAAGTTCTTTGTAATTTGACTCATAACAACACTCTGATTGGTTACTTTCACAGGCTGCTCACTGTTTAATAGACATGCCCCTACTTGCGGTATAGCGAGTAGTGGCATAATTTACTAATACTAAGTAATCTTTACTTAGTATTAGTAAATTTGTCTGAAAGACGAATTTAGGTCTTTCAGCCTTTTAGTAGATAGCTCCCTAATATCGTGGGAATTAGGGGGTTATCTACTTATTCATTCCTGTCATTCCATTGACAGGCTAAGTAACTTACATTTTATATGAATGTGTGTTACTTCATTGTTGTAAGTGTTGCAAATTCTTACAGCTGAATCCTGGCTATGTTTGTATACTTTTTATTTACACTTGTATCCAGTGTAACATTCTTCATTCTTCCACTGGGTAGGTATATTAGTACTTCGGCAATACTGTGCTTTGGAACTTTGGCACTTCAGCAATTCGGAACTTCGACAATTCAGCTATTCGGACATTCAGAAGTATCCGAATGTCCGAATTGCCCGAAATTCGTCCGAATTAACATTCAGAACAAAACGAACTACTTTTTGCTGTAAACACTGCCTTGAGAGTAAAGGCCTAGTAAAACCTCTAATGGCAGTCACTCAGACGACCACTAGAAGTGCTTCCTGGACCAGTGCTGCACGCTGCATGGAGATGCTGAACTTTCCACATAGAGATGCATTGATTCAATACATCTATATGAAGATATGCTGATTGGCCAGCACAACTTTGGCTCCACCCCTGTCTCCTTGGTTTAGATGGTCAATTCTAAAGATCTCAGCCAAGGAGGTGGAGCGGGGGTGGAGCCAGCAAGGTAAATTTGTATCCTATATAAGGGGTGCTGGCCACAAAAACAGTGTTTTTAATACCACAGGGTCAGGAATACACCCTGTAGTGACCCTGTAGTGTTCTTTTACCAAAACAATACTTTGGTCTGGAAGCATCTGGTATTTTACCTTTTTTTTTTTTATTATCATCGAGAAATAACAAAAACAAAAAAAATATAGGACCAAGAAATGCATAAAAAAGAGATTATAGAGAGATAGGTAACACAGGATACAAATGCAAAATGAGAAGATGTGGAGAGCCTAAATCCAGGGGAGGTACTTTCTGTCCTGACAGAGTCGGGTACATTTCAGTTGGCAAGTTCCCTATAACTGGCTCATTAATAGTGGGTCATTGTTTGTTGCGAGAACTAGGCCCCATTTAGCCTACAACCAGCTTGACATTTAAATTTGGTATTATGATTATTAGGGGAACTGGGGAAGACAAGTGGGTAAAGGCTAGAGGGGGAGAAAAAAATTAGAGTGTAGATAAGAGAAGAAAAAAAATGATTTAAAGGGGATGGGGATACGTAGTTGCAGAGTAGGCTGAAACTATGGGGAATTCCTGGGGAGGGGCCATTCCTGGTAACCTTAAGTGACTTAAGGCGGTTGGTTCATTTTTATTGTGTAGTCAAGCGAGGGAGTCCAAGTTAGGGTGCACTTATTGGTACAGCCATTAAGGGCTGCAGTTAGCATTTCAATTTTGCAGATTTCCTCTATCCTGGCTATCCATTGCTGGAAGGTAGGCACACCCGCCTGCTTCCAGTGAAGCAGGATCAAGGGTTTTGCTGAGGTGAGAAAATATTCAGTTAGCAAATTTTGGCAAGCCGCTATTGTTGTCTTGGTGTGATGTAGGAGCATGGAGAGTGGCTGCAGAGGCAGGTCTAAGCCCGTGATGCCTTTAATCTTCATGTTTATCATTTTGCAAAATGTAGTTATCATTGGGCAAGACCAAATATGAAGACTTGTACCCATCTCTGCACCACATCTCCCACCAACATTCTGCTGATAGCACTGCGTTCATGCGGTGTAGGGCATGAGGGTTCCTGTACCAACTTGTCTACACTATATAGCTAATTATCTGGTAAATTTGGTATTATTTTAATGCTATATAAATAAAAGCATAGCTATATCTATAATAATGCCAGAATATTTGTAAAGACATCTTTGGTCAGGCCTAAACGGCTCACTCTATTGTCCAATGAAAAAAAAAAAAAAACTAAAATGTTTAAAAAAGAGGAAGCATTGTTGTATTGTTGTAAATGTTTAAAACAATAGTGAACATCCATATCTAGCATATTGAAGAATAAATTTGTGGATGCCTAAGTTTTCCAATCTGAGATCTATAACGAGGCAATGTTTGACAGATTTTGAAGCTTTTCTTTGTTTTCTGATAGGAGCTAATTTAGTGACCTTTTTGACCTGTGGAGTCCATGGACCATTGGGATGCCAAAAGCTTTTGGAGATCTGGAAATCAGGATTCTGTTAGGATAAGTCATAAATTCCAGGAACAGAGTTCCCTTCTGTTCTGTTCCTGCACTTTTTTAATTAAATTCTGATTTACCATCTTCTGATCTCAGATAGTTTATGGTTTTTCAACTGTGTTTTTTGTGTGTGTGTTTGTTTGTTTGCTCTCAGGGCTGCATAGAGTATCTCAGAAAAGCCAATGGAACTAACAGATAAGAAACTTCTGTCTTCCTAGCGTTAATAATGGAGGTGGGGAGTGGTTCCCAGAGGACCTTAGGTAAGAAGTCAAACTGATCAAAAAGTGTTTGATTACTTACAATCACCAGGATGAATTGTTGTGGTTCTGGTGCCTGGACTGTTCTTCTAAACAACCCTAAGCAGGTACAGGCAAAAAATGATCAAAGATACCAATCAGTTCAAACAGTATGAAGCAAGACAATAGCCGAGCTAATATAAGGAGAGTGACGAGGTGACAGCTTCTTCCCCTGTCTGTAACCAGAAGAATCCTAAACCCTTTATAGAAGAGTCACGTGAGTGCTAAACAACTTAACTAAGAGGATGGCATAAGCAGGATGCTCAGGAGATCATTACACAAGGAGGATCTGGACAACCACTAACTCCAGTCTGCCATCAATCTTTGTTAGCCCTGCTTGGGAGCTGTTCATTGAGGCCAGTGCTGAACTAAGGTAGGTAATATAATTTACGAAAACATACAAGAAAATAAATTTAAATACAGATCAGTATTATTTTGCTATAGAATTATTAATGTTCTTGTATATACATACTTACAGTTCATGTAACCTTTTATAGGAGGCCTCCCTTCCACTTACAAAACTGCAAAAAACAAATTATTTAAAAAATCACGAACACATATTCTGTGCAAATATTCATTAAACAGGAACAGATGTAGAATGATCAAGTATTGCAAATACTACACCAAACAGATGCACGTAGAGGATAGCCAAGTTGGAGAATGTTTACATTTATGCCTTTTTGACCTATAATTTACAGTTCCATTATCAATGTTCTTTTAGGGGGCATCCTACGATTGTTACAGGCTGATACATATAGGCATTATCTCTTTTATTCCCCCTCCCTCCTCCTAAATCATTGTATTTTACTTAACTCATTGTGAAAGCCAATGACTTGACTTCACCAGTCTGAAAGTATTAACCCTTTATACCCTAGAGATTTCTATAGATAGAAATATAGTTTGCATTTTTATAATCCCTATATTCTTATTGTCTAAAATGAATAGGTTAGATATGTTTTATAGAGTCCCTAAATCTACACAATGTAAAGAATCAATAAACCGCCCTCTTTAGGCTGCCAACACCACAGCCACCTTGCAACCCTTCCACCTTTTAAGTACCCACTTTACTAACCTCTCCTCGTCTATTTACATATGAATGAAAAAAAAAACCAATTAAAAGCAATTAAAAAGCAAAAAAGCAAAAAGCTGACGTATGTTTAGGATTTTCTCTGAGCCCAGCAATTAACACGGCACATGCTTTTACAGAAAATTACTTAATTCCTCCAATATTTATGTTTTTATAGCAGTTCACTGAAAACACATAGAAGCTTTTAAATAATCAGACATGGTTTTTAAAAAAACATAACACGGTTTATTTTCTCCTCTGATCCATCCATTCCAGAAATGTTTTATTCATTGAACATAAATTAAAAACCATTAACCATTTGTTTTGTGGTCCTTTCAATGTTGATATAAACAACAAAAATATCACAGTAATCCACAAGGATTCATTTGTTTTTATTTAAAGTTATAAGCTTCCACTATTTTTACTTTTCTATTTTAATACTTTTGTCAAATTAACCAAAAAGTATACTGTACTTACAGTATGTATTCAATTTGTTGGTGTGTATATTGCTACATAGTAACATATTAGAAATTATTTCCAAATGTGCAATTTTCATATAATTTTATTATGCTATAAGTATTTTTTTTACTGTATGCACTGTAAAAAAATAAAAAATAAAAATAATAAAAAAAAATATCTAGAAATTAGAGCACTCTATTTTTTGGTTAATTTGATAAATGTTCACCGTTTTAATTGTGTATCTCTAAGGGAAAGCAAAAAAAAGATTAGTTTTCATTAATTTGGTCTATATTATTTTCATAACTCTTTATATAAATTTGTATAAGGGCCAACTTACAATTTCTTTCATTCTGCTACTAACCACTACTCTATACTATAAAGGAACATTGCAACCACTACTCTACACTATAAATTAAGACATCAATAAATGGTGTAATATTCCCAAATGTAACATATAGGGGCAATATAGTGTTTCACAGAGATGTTCGCTATATTTTATGTTATTGATATTTTGATTTTGACTCATTCTTAAAACCGTATTCTGATATACTTACGCATCATGTGCTTTAATACTATCCTATCACAACTTGCAGCACAGTATAATTTGTAAAACCTAGATCTGGCAGGGACCCCTATGTGTAGGTACCCACCAATATTCAGAGTTACTTCTACAGAGATCTGCTACCAGGACTCTGAAACTAAGAAAGAACTTGGGCCACCATTGATATCAGTGAATCTCAGCTCATCAGAACTCATTAGGACTGTTTGTGTAACTTGCGGTATAGTGAATAGGACTAGAGGTATCTAGAATGTTTCCATGGGTTTATTAATCAGATAAAGACTTTTATCACCCAGTTCAATGAAAACAAATTGCAGCCCTTTCAGTGCTCTTATCTGAGAATTGAAGTGGAAAGCGGCTTGTTGTAGATTTCAAGTTAACTGTACGGTTTGCTGGGAATCATTTAATTTGTCCTCTTATTTTTGTTTTGCATACAGATAGAACTAACTATATATAGAACTAAATCTATATATTTTTTACTTAATGGTAATTTATACCAAAATCTGTGTAAATTCCTATTTTTTGTTAATGAGCATAGATTCATGTGTTTTTAATTAAAGCGCTAAACTTTCTTTATTTTATATTAGAGCATTTGATAATTTGACTGTGATCCAGACTGAACGCTTCAGTGAAATTACTTCTGAGTAAGGATTAGTTCAAAATGTTTAAGGAGAACTGGTGACTCCCAACATCAGTTATTGTGCATTCATGTTGAGGCAATTAGCTTTACTTTTATGCAAACACTATAGCGTTCTGGATGTGGAGTTTTTAAAAAATAATTTATTTTTTATAAATGTCAAGGGTAATATTAGATATTCCTCTAGATAAGTCATTGACGTCAGCAATTCAGTTCTGGATTTACAGATGACCCTTTTTGGTTCAATATAGAGACTAAGAACAATTGGGTTGCATATGCTCTTTTAGAAGCATTTAAAAAGTAGAGCAGTATATTTTTCTTTGACTCACACAGTTTTTTTTTTTTTTGATGGAATGCATTATCAAACAAATTGGTTACTTGGCACTTATAATAAATTCATTATTATAGGTCTTTTACCTGCAAAAGAAATTACACACACACACACAAAAAAAAAACTCTTTCTGGAACACAAACTAGGGACTTGATTAGAAGAAATTTTTCCTCCTTTTGGCAGGACAAAACTAATATATGCTTAAAGCATTTATGACCAGTGTAATAATTGGTTAAAAAAAAACTACTTGTGTTTCAAGAGCATGTTAACGTAGGGCGTCTCATAGGGCTTTCATTCTGTATTCATACTCAAGTGTGAGAATGTTTGCTGTCAAGCAAGACACCAACAATGGCAGTGGTAACTGGCTTCTAGAGTCAATTTGGGGGTGCAGAAATATTCCACCCCAGTTTTATCTGCTATGTAAAAATATCAAGTTCCTTTTTTATACCTATTTTATACACATAAATAACAGATCCAGTTAAACTTAATTAGACCAGGGAATTGTTTGTGCGAAATACTAGTAAATAAAAATAAAAAAACGTATAGACACTTGACGGGCCAATGGGTTCTTTTCTGACGTAAGATTTATCACCATGTTTTTATCTGTTTTGAGAAGACTCACAGGAAAGCATGTCATTTAACACAGTAAATAAATATATTTAGATTATTATATGCTCGATGTGAAGCCTGAGCCAACAGAATCATCAAATTTATACAATGCCAATGAAATGTTTGCTAGTCTACAAATTATAGGGTTTCATTTTACTTGCATATTCATCAGTGTGAATGGACACTTTAATGTATCCAGTGGCCAATAACAGGTGACACTGAGTGCCCTTCACGTGGTGAGTCATCACGTTACCCTTTATAAGACATCTGTGACAAGAGCCTATTTATCTGTAGGAGGTTCTGAGACTGGTACAACAGGAGAAGACAGACACCCAAGCCCTGTCATGTCAGTACTGAATGCGGTTCCCTTTCTGAGGCAAGTCCATCTGCGCTCACCACGGCAGCAGAGACGTCACACTCTCCCGGCCAGTGAATTCCGGTGCCTCTCACCCGAGGATGCAGTCAGTGTTTTCGAAATTGAGAGAGAAGGTAAGTTCATTCAACTTATGCGATACCTTTACCCAAATAAGTAGAATTTTAATTAAAAAAAACAAACAAACAAAAAAAAAAAAAGAACCGTACAATTTATATCTAAAAATGGTGTTCCAATGAAATAGGGAGAGAAAATTAGTTATTTCGTAAATAAAAATTTAACTATTTATATCTGGAGTCTTGCAGTTTATGAGGTCTACAAAGCCCTGCTGCCCCCAAACCATTCTTTATTGTAGACTTAGGATGTATGCCTTATTTTATATTTGACATTATTTAAAAATGTTTAGCAACTTTTTAGTCATCCATTTTTGTGCTTACAACACATTCCCCAAAATTCTCCTTTGCTCTTGCCAATTAGTAAGTGATTTTGCATGGTGTAAAACTAGAACAGGTTTGCTAACTGGTAAATATGTCAATAGGAGAAGGACAATTGGAATTGTACATAGAATTACAGGCTACAAGACTCAAGTACATCATGTTAATCGTTTCACACATCGCTTTTCTGGTGTTGATTAAAAAGAATGTTATAAACCAAATCTAAAGCAATTTCCAGTTTTACCAATATTGATGATATTGATGGTTTAGCACATCATTTGAAATTACCCTATTTTCCTAAGTCCTTTCTCTCTCTATCACTTACCTCATAGCATTCATCTCCGTTTCCGGAGACTGTCCTCTCCACCTGGATGAAGTACGGCACTTCTTAACCCTTTGTCCTGAGTTATCATTGGGATGGTTTGAAGAGGGACGGCTTGTGGCTTTTATCATCGGTTCTCTATGGGATCAGGACAAGCTCAACCAGGTGAGTTTTCCCAACAGTTTGGGGAAGGGGGTGTTATGTTCTATCTTCTTTGAAATATGCTTGAAATTCAAAATCAAAGATACATTAAGAAGATAGATAACTGCTTCCGTTTGAAGCCCAATCTATCTTAGGGATATCTCATGATGGCCTTTTGTTAGATGCTATGATTTAAGGTTCTCCTTATAGCAGTGTCAATGCATCATTTGTACTTTTCAGAATATGATGCATTAAATAAAGACAGCTATTTATTGGACTTGGAGTGAGTTAAGGGATGTGTATGCTTTGAAAATATGACATGCAGACATTTTAGGAAATACATAAATAGATCTCATATTTGGAAAAAAATTAATTTGAAGTTGGACCTTGCTGCAGCATTGAGTCACCTTGAACATGTTAAGTAGAGATGTCGCGAACTGTTCGCGAACTACCCGCAAACGGCTCGCCGTGGTTCGCCACGAACCGTTCGCGGCGAGCTCCAGTCAGCTGACACATCCCGGCCAATCTCCAGCAGACCCTCCCACCTCCTGGACAGCATCCATGTTGAAGGCAGCATCCATGTTGAACGGTTCGCGACATCTCTAATGATAAGCTGTTTTAATAAAGCAGGTCCAGTACCAATTTCAGATACAGTCTCTACTTATAAAAATCTTTTTTTCTTATTGATTTTAGCTATGCTTGTTAAATGTTATGTTAATAATAGTGTAATTTTTTTTTTTTATAATGCGGTTTCTAACATTATATTGTTGTTTGTGACACTAGCAGTGAGGCCTCCTAAACTCAAGATTTAATAATTAAACAATGAACGGAGATGTTTCATTCAAACGCAAATATTACAGTTGGAACACTTTCATTTGGAAAACGGTTCCAACTTCATTATTTTGGCCTGAATTTTCTCAATTTGTAGCTTAATGGATAAAACCGAAGATGGTGTGTTCAGTAACTTCCTACATTTTCATTCAAAGCCAATAGAAATGGTGCTAGGATGGAGCTACACTCTGAATGCAGTGCCATGATGGCACCATTATGATGCTTATCAGTTTGAAGACAATAGCTATAAGCTAATATTCTAGGCATCTGTCTTTTTGGTATGTGATTGTTTCCCACCTTGCATGGTTCTTTCTTCTATAAAAAGCGGTGTATATTATCATGGATGAAAGGAGAACCCTCAATTAAGTAGGGCACATACCTGAACAAGGAAATTAACTAGCTAAATAATCATTTTTCTCTCCTTGCAGGATGCTCTCACACTGCACAAACCGCACGGGTCCTCCGTTCACATCCACGTCCTTGCAGTGCACCGTACCTTTCGACAACAGGGAAAGGGCTCCATCCTTCTCTGGCGTTACCTCCAGTACCTGCGCTGCCTGCCTTTTGCACGCCGGGCCGTGCTAATGTGTGAAGACTTTTTGGTTCCTTTCTACTCCAAATGTGGCTTCAAAGCTGTGGGCCCTTGTGATGTCACAGTGGGACCTCTGGCCTTTATTGAGATGCAGTGTTCTGTCCGAGGACATGCATTTATGCGCAGGAACAGTGGATGCTAACACAAATCCTGCCTCCTATTAACCTGTTTGCTTGCATTGGGGAGCCTGTGATGCACTGTAGAGCAGAGTATAACAGACCTCCCTTGGTAGCAAATGGATTGATGGACAATCCTCTGGGGCGTCAAAAATTAAACATTTTAGTACTTCTGTCCTTAAGGGGTTATTTTGCATTGCATAGCCATATCTGTCTTATTAACCCCTTACTGGCCTGACACAGTGGATCATTCATCTTTTCTTGAAAGCAAACTTACCTCTGTATAAAACCCACACCTCACCCATCATTGTCACTGTATAAACACCTTTCACTTGAAAATGTCATAATAAATTTCATGTTTTTTTTCTATATGACTATTGTTCTGTGTATATTTTCTTCTATAAAAAAAGCATGAGTTACACAAAATTCCTTTTAGCTAGGCTCCATTGCAGACACATGGCTCCCCTATAGGATCAGAAACATGAAAATATGTTAAAGAAAATAAAGTAAAAAAAAAAAAAGGCAAATATAGAGAGAATAACAAAAATTGTGTATAGAAATTTGAACAATGCAATATAAAACAGTTAAAGGGTTACTGCAGGCACCATTACCACTACAGTGATTTAAATTGGTCATGGTGCCCAGAGTCTGTATATGCATCTTTTTACCGATTATAACCCCTTGCTTCTGGAGGTGCAACTCCAACTCAAGTAGCATTATTGGGGTGTCATTTGCCAGCTGTCAATTCTGTGCATATTTATATGCACAGAATGTCAATTATTGGTTGAGAGCGATAAGCGGACACTCAGCCAATTAATGAGCAGTATCCAGCTACTGCAGCAGAAGGAACTCGACCGGAAACCAGGTAATAGAGCAAACTGTTGTAAATCAGTTTCTCTCATTACCGGGGAACAGTGCCAGGGTACTCCTACCATCATAACCTCTTCGGCAACTGCAGTGATTATGGTGGTTGGAGTAACCCTTTAATGGTTACACATTCTCATGCCTTTTCTTTCTTAAAAGGCCACTGGAGGTCACACCCTTGTACCTCTTAATACATTATCAAAAATAAAAATAAAAAATACAGCTCATCTGTTTTACAGCTGAAGAATTCTTTTAATTTGGAGCAGGAACAAGCAACTTATACTTTGAGTATCCCAGTATGCATTCTAATTCACCACTAGCTAAACTGTGCAGTGATTTGTGGCTTCCTTAGCAATCACGCCAGTTCTGAGAATTCTAAAAATGTTTTACAATACTTCTTTAGTTTGGGTGTTAGACTAGAGAAGAACTAATTAATTGTCATGTGTAGCATGTGTGCAAGTATGACAATGTTTTTATGCTTATTACAACAAATTAATTCAGGTTTATAGCAATGAACCGGAACCTCTCCGGTATATGCAGAACATCTGTGAGCGATTTCCATTCAAGTGAAATGCGTTGGTAGACGAATTGCGCATTATTAATAAGCATGATTACTTGAAACCCATCACAGATATTCTGCATATCTGCAGCATCTCTTATTCATTTCTACGGATAGAAGTTTGCATGCTTTAGTAGTATACACCAATCTGCTTTTTGTTTAAACTAGGGTATTTGGATCATTACTCAGATGGAGGAGTATCCCTAGAAATGCCATAATTTGGTAAATCCTTTTAGAATCAACAGTTTGGCAACACGGTAAATTAAAATGTTTCATGTGGCCAATAGGGAGATATCTTCAACAGGATAATATTCTTTAACAAATTCCCTAAATTAAAACACAAATAGGGAAAAAGAATAGTGCAATATTGCCAATACCCAATATATAATTGTAGTAAATAGGTAGTGGAGCACTCACAAACATAGAGCCACTGGGTAGGCTCAAAGGTTGAAGCACTGTGGGTACTCAAGGGACCCACTCCCTTCTTTCTATGGTCTGGGATATCCCAACAACAGGATCTCTTCTCAAGAAGTTGTAAATCAATATAGTGCTTTATTCAGTAAAGTGCACAAAAATTTCCATAAAACTGTTAAAAGTAAATAAAAAAACCTTACAGTCTGAAGGTAGTCCTTATGGCTGTTTGCAAAACGCGTTTCACCTCGTTTTTTAATTTAACGGGCCAAATTTTAAGCGAAGAACACATTAATATTTTTAAAAAGGGTTTAAAGTTCGCCCCTACTGCCGATTTTAAAGCGTTTGATTTTTATGTAGATGTAAATCATTTTATAAGAAAATTGTGTTTAAAAAAGTTTTTTAACAATAAAGAGAAAATGGAGGTGGTCGAAAAAGAGGATGAATATCTTCATACGCCCTTAAAAGAGAAAATCAAAAAAATTTCCGAAACATCTTATCTCTAATGAAATTAAATCATTTGAAATGATGGTTATGAATGATGTGGAAAAATTAAAGAAAATTAATAAATATCAACATAACTTAACACTAGGAGAAAAAAGGGCTCTTAAAGAAATGAAAAATGATGAAAACTTAATAGTGAAACCAGCAGATAAAGGAGGTGGAATAGTGATTCAGAATAAAGAACAATACGTCGCAGAAGCGGAACGAATACTTTCAGATCAGTCTACTTATCAGAAACTAACCCATAACCAAACTCAGAAAATTATTATGTTTTTTAAAGAGTATGTAAACAAGGGTAAGGAGTTAGGAATATTAAATGAAAAAGAAGCCGATTATATGTTTGTAGAAACTCCTAAAATCCCAGTCTTCTATATTTTACCTAAAATTCATAAAAATATTCAAAATCCACCTGGAAGACCGATAATATCAGGTATTAACACTATTTCAGAAAAAAGAAAGGAAGGCAGCGCCACTATAAACCACATAAATAAAAGAGCACAGAATAGGCAGACTGGAATGCAATATATATGATAGATAGTAAGCAAATAGAAGTCCAGAATAAATAGTCTGACTGGTAGATGAATCAAACAAATATCTTTGTAGAGGTGAATACAGTCTTTTGTAGTGGGGGATTCTTCAGAGTGGTGTAGATGCGTCTTTGTACAACATATGAAATGAGAAAATAACAACTGATGGTATAGTATGTCCCGAAAGGGGTAGAAGCAATAAAAGAGTATATGGTCCTACTCACGTTTTCAAGAGCTATGGACTTAGCTCTAGTGTTAATAACGTACAGTGGTATAATCCCCACTTATGGGATACGTGAGGTCTTAGTATTCTTTCTTGATTAGGGAACCATATGTGGAAATAAAAGCAGGAACAACAATGGTGCTCAAAGTATAAAATGCCAGAGGTGAGAAGATAAAAAACCAAGTGGTTACTCACATTTAGTTGAACAGACTGACTGTTTAATGAATACAGCTTGAGTGGTATAATCCCCACCTAGGATTCTTGGGAGTAATATCCTCACTGGAAAGTAAAAACACTTCTGTGCCGGATAAAAAGATGGTAGTAATAAAAAAGTAAAATAATAATAGTAATAAAATGTAAGATGGCTAACTCACAGTAAAAAAGTGGCCAAAATATCTTTATTTAAAACAATATAGTTTAAAAAAACCACAACGCGTTTCGCCCTTAGGCTTTATCAAGTGGAGATCAGAAAGTACATCCTGTTACATACAGGTTTATATAGGCAGTGAACATATTAGAAAATGGCGCCAAAATGATGTCATAATTTTTTTTTTTTTTTCTCAAAAGTGCTAAATTTTATATGTGTAAGTGAGTACATACCTTTATGTGAAACATGTGATAGTTTAAAATTAAAAACGAGGTTTTAAACTCACAATACCTTACATATTCTATTTAGATACAACAGTCACATGATAGGCACCACAACTACCACCAACCACCACCACAGAAGTATCACAGCTCTTCCCACCACATCTCACCCCCAACCATTTCACCCTCCTATTCCAACTATCCTAAACCCAGGCCCACCAAGCCTGTCCCATTCATGACTATCCCACAAAGACCTGATCTCACACCCAGACCTCAAAGATTCAGACATACATTCAAACACACCCATCCCAGCACACCCCCTCACCTACCCTCCACACACCATCCTAACAGATACCAAGTGTTATCTACAGATTTGGACACAGACACTGAGGATCATTTTTTAGAACTAGGCCCAAATCCACTTACTGCCACACCTTACCTACCCAGAACAAAAAAGAAATCTAAGCCTAGAGGAAGGAGAAGTGGCAGAAGATTTCAAAAGAGAAAGACTAGAGAGACACTAACTAATACAGACAACCCCCATGGAATTTTTAACCTTTCCCATAAAATTTTAACTACTACCCAAATATCGGTTTTAACTAAGGGCCTCAAATTTGCACCTACCAATCCCTATCAACCATTCCAAGCCTTTTTAGATTTAAATAAGTTTGTTAGGAAAGCTACACTAAAAAGATTTTTTAGCAGCAGAATTGAGAATCAATCTATTAACCAGGGACAGACCAACTATTCCCCACACCTCCATGTATTAATGACGAGATACCAGTGAAAAACACCACCCTTAAGAATAACTCTAATTTTTACCCATCAAGTTTCAAATCTGGCCCGATAGAAGTTTTTGAGAATTTGGTAAAGCAAGACTTAGAAAAAATTAATACCTCCAAAAAAAACAACCACAAATATCATAAATATAACCAATATAACTTAACCTTTCAAGAAAGAAAAGCTCTCACAGATCTTAAAAAAGATGACACAATAGTCATCAAACCAGCCGATAAAGGGGGCGGCCTAGTTATACTCTCACAAGAAATGTACATCAAAGAAGCATTTAGACAGCTTAATGACTCCAAAGTATATGACAAGCTACTATCAGACCCAACCCATACCATCCAAAACTCCCTTATATCATTTTTAACCAA